AATGTTAAGCTTTCTATAAGTTGGCCGAAAAAAATCTGTTTGCCAACTTATCAATCTTCAAAAATGCTAAATCACTGATATTTGTGTAAAAGACACATTTTCCTGCATTAACGCCACAAATTAAAATATTTTTGTATTTACGAACAAATTAATTCTAAAATTACAAGTAATACGACCTTCTCGGCTGTATGATAAACAACGATGAAAAAATGTTTTCCATATTAACGAAACCAAAGGTCTAAATTGGTACGGGGAAAAATAATTGAACTAAAAAAATTGCACAAGAAATTCGAACCTTTTTTTAGTGTTATATTTAAATTTTTTAAACTTTTCTACGAAACCCTATTTAAAATAGAAACACAAACAAAAAAATAGAAAATTAACAAACATCCTGACATCAAAATTCACTTGTGATATAATTTCATAAGAATAAAAAACCTCTGGAAGAAAATACTGAGGTGGAGACAAAAATAATAAAGTTGTAAAAATTTTATGACCTTAAAAAATATGTGTAAAAAAAACAAAATTCCTTTCAAGAGTGTTATTATCGCCTTTCAGTTTTGTTTCTTTAATTTTTGATTTAAATGTTATGTTGTTGTCACTTTCTTACTCTAGGATTCTTTTAAATTTTTACCGTAAAACGAGTAAAGTAATACTTTATAGGTATTGCTTAAATTTAGGGGTTTAACACTGTGTGATGTAATTAGAAAGCAGCGAAGTTTAGCATAACATAGATGTTGGAATATGGAGACTGCGATTGAACCAACTTTTTTAACATTTTAAACGCAGAGTTCTTTCACAATGTACAGATAAATACACATACGCAATCCAGTATGGTTGTAAGCTCTTGCATCTCACTTTTACCGGCTATCTTTTATCGGCTTTTACCTAGTTTAGTCTCTAGAAAAAAATATTCTTAATTCCAGGTTTTGGAAATTTAATGTTTGGATATTACAGCTGTAATTTCATATGTTATAAACCTTACATTAAAATATATAAAATCTTCTTGAATTTTAATTCTATTTTTAGGACATAAAAATATTAAAAATCTCATCTTTATAAATTATATTGTTGCTGATGATGATTGTGATTACATGCAACAAAGATTTAAATCTTGAAATTTCTATACGCACATCATTGTAATTATGTATACATTATATACGTATGGTTATGTAATATCATTAAATATACCTGCTATAAAAAAAGGTGTTATAAAAATATAGGTTTTTAACATTTTCTTACATAAATTGGAAGAAAAAGTAAACTGAAAGCAAGAAAAACCATTGAGCGAATGGGAATGATTACTTTAATGAGAATAAGACCAGAAAATATTTAAACTGGAATGAATTATACTTTTATTTTTGCCTCGTTATACAGGGTAATTCAGAACAGGTATCCAACAATATGTACCATTTATAACATTAAATCATTTCTTCACTCTAATTTTAGCACTTAGGATATGATGATGGTAAAGCTGGAGGAAGAACACGGAGGACCTCTGTTTATGGGCTCGGCCTAAATGCCCCATGATAAACCTGCTTGACCACCGAAAGTCGGCGATCAAGTTTGATCGCTGTTTGTGATACAAATGCCAGACACACCCTCTGGGCGAGCCCGGAGACAAGCAAAAGAGATGAGTCCTTGTTGATGTATGATTTTATCTTAAACAGTAGTTTAGAAATAGCAAATAGGAGCAACACTCCCACTCATATTTTTCTCAGCACAAACAGCTTTTTTGGCTAGGAAGATTTTCTAGATATAACACTTTAAGTAAACTTTTGTTTAGTCGAGAACTGGAGATTGTCCATAAAGAGGTCCTTTCCTGCAGAAACTAGAAAATTTATAGTTCTTTATAGTTATAAAAGTTTTTGGTACTTACTTTTCACTTTGTCCCGCACCCAAATCGTGGAGACGTGTGAGGGTGATCTGCACCATAAAAACAGAAAAGAGGAGAAAACCCAAAGGACCTTAAAGCGAATAATCTGACTTCTCTTGTTCTGCAAGCTTTAGAGTTTGTCTTGGAGCTGAGACTGCAGAACAGGATGGAGTCTGTTAAGCTTTCAGAATTATAGCACGCGTATCTCTTTGGCAGGTCGATCGACGCTTCACTACATAAGATCATTCGCGTGGTGAGGCATTCCATTCGCTACAAGCAGCATACTCTCGCTTAACTTGAAAGCCATTCGGTGGTCTCTAGCCAACTTTTGTGTCGAGATGTCGGTGATTTGCTGGATAGGATGCCTTGAAAACACCTCTCCAAATGTTTCCGGCGGAATTACATATCGCTAACCTGGCAGACAAATGTGCCGTCAAACCCAGCTGTTGCGTCGGACAGAAGCCTTACGACCGCAGCAGTATATGCATCGAATCTACTTCCTAGCCAGTCGAGTGTATTTCAGACGGAAGCTTTCCTCATACTGAAAGCGTTCGAGATCTGGAGGGGTTCTCAGGTTGTGGCTAGAAATATCGAATAATCGACAGGCGGGCTGCAATTCTGGCTCTAAAGTGTAAGACAAATTCGTTAAGAGTCCTAGATGGTCCACCTGCAATCATACGCTCAATGACGGCCTGGTGGTCACGGGGTAGTGGTACCAAAATGGCACAATCGTGCTAATTGGGATGCGATGGACCTGCTGCACCTGCACCGGCAGCCAATCAAGAATTTTTCTGAGATTTTCTTAAAATCAGTATATTTTGGACACCAATTTGGCATCCGTCTCGGGTCAAAAGCTTACGAATTTCTGATCATCTAACCAATAGTGTTCAGTAATAAATACCCTCCTGAGTCACTCTGTGTATACGTTTTTTACGTAAGCAGAGTTACATTTAGCCTCTCTTTTGTTAAATTTATATGTTTAAAGTAATTTTTATAAAAGTTCATAAATTACATAATGAATATGTGTAGATGAATTTATGTAATCCTCATAAGAATACCTTTTACTTTCATATATATAGGAAATTTCTGTTTTACCTACTTTATTGTGTCATTAATATTTATATGATATATATAGGGTTTATAAAAAATAGTCGTTAATTTAAAATAGATCAAATAGAAGAGTTGATATAGGAGTAAAAATATTTAAAAATAACTATGTACTAATGGAAGTTATAGCGACAAACTTAAAATAAATTCTGTTGCTAATCCATTATGCGTTCTATGCATGTGAAGTGCCTTGATAATCAAAAATACTTTTAAAGAACTGCTCTAAATTTTTCGTTAACAAAACATTCATATAACATGAGTCCGCGGTGTGATGTATAACAAAAAGAAAATTTCTAATTTTAGATTGCAGACAAAGTTAAGGAAAAATCAAATAATATAAAATTTCTACATACACCTATAATAAACACATAAGTTTCATATATAAGTAAATATATTTCCACAACGTTTCATTTCAAAATAATCAAGTGTAAAACGGGTATTCTTTTTGGAATCATATATAAAAGGTGGTTTAATCAAAAGTTTATCCTAAAACTTTTTCTTTCTTTTTAGTGTAATTTTATAAAAATATTTTGAAAAAAAAATAATCTTAAATGTTTTGGTTTGCCCATTTGCTTGTTCGTTTACAAAACTTGTACACATTCAAAGGTAGAAAGCTACAATATCTTAAACCAATGCATCTCAGTAGGCCTGCTATTATCTTAGAATAAAATTTTCACATGTTTTAATATATAGCTTTTTAAAATAGCGAAGCTGAATTTTTTTAAGTTTATTTATTCTGTTCAAACCATAGCAAACATGCAAATCCGGAAATAACTCCTTTTCTTGTACTCAACATTAGCACAACTGTTCAACTTCTACTCAACACTTCAAAAAGGGGACTTAAATTCGATGTTTAAAGATACCGACAAATATTTTATTTTCTTAGAACAAAATCTCTTTATACACCCCCTTATATATATATAAAGGGGATTCACTCCTATCTGGAGTTATCTCCTATGGAATTTGATCGGTTTTATAAACTTTTTCGAACGTTTATGATAGCAAGAATGCAACAACAAACATGTCTAAAAACTGATCATTCTAAAGATTACATGGAAAAATATGAGATTTATTTCATGGCTTATTTCTGTCATTATAGTATTGCGTTTCCCCTAAATTTATGCAATATTAAGAACATCATTAAATATTGAAAGAGAAAAGTGCTATTTTACAAATCATGAAATTTTAATCGCCTAAATTTTGTATTGATGAAGAGCTTTTAAAATTTTTTAAATTTTCCAATTAAAACTTCCAAAATTTTGTGTGCCACCAATATTTATTTTTATTTTAAATTCTAAAAAATTTTATATTAAACTGAAACTAAAACTTAAATTTTATATTTTTGATCAAGATCGCCAGCCCCGAAATCCCTATTGAATATACACGCTTGAATATTCAAAGTTTAATTACACTCACATATACCTATAAAAATAATAATATGTCCTTATGTGTTTATGAAAGCGGGTAAGAAATAATTAAAAACAAAAAAAAAAAAAATTTTTTGTTCCAAAACACGTACAATCTTACACCTTAAAAAATTTCCCCATAAAACTTTTATGAATTTATAAAAATATTTCATCATTGTTTGGAACAAAATTATAGAACGATTAATTTTTGTTTTTTGTTTTCTTATTTTATATTGCTATACTATCATATCAAATTATCCTTTCACTTCTAAAATTTGTAACGAAATTCCACTCCCCCCGTACTCTACTGTAATATAAGAAAATTTTTAAAATTATAAGCAATAACTTTTCTCCAAGGACTTAATATAATGGGATCCCATTATAAAAATTTTACAAAATGGCTATAAATATAAACATTTTTTTTTCTGTCTAACAGGAAATTTTAAAAGGGATATTTTTTTTTGTGTCGAAAGTTGTGTGTCATTATATTGTGCGTCTTTTAATTTATTTGTTTATAGGTACGTAAAATTAAATAAATATAAAATTTATATTTAAATAATAATAAAAAAAATTACTCTTATAATAATATGAGAGAAAAAATTGAGACTTACCAGTTTTTTAAAAGTTTTCTTCTTGAAAAAAAGCAAAACAAAACACGAAAAAAAAAATTAAAAACGGAAATTCAACAATGAAAATGCGCCTTTGTATATCCTTTTAATCCTTTATGCCTCCAGCAGTATCTTTATATGTTTTTATTTTTATTTTTTTCAAATGTTTTAAATTTTAATTTATTTTGTAATTTAATTTATGGACAATTTTTATTTATTTAGTTTTTTTTTAATTATGTTTAAGCATTTATTTTTTATGTTGCGTTTTAAGGACTTTTTTATATTGAAACTTGAAGAACATAAGCAAAGAATTATGGGTAATTTTTATTTGCTTTTTCAGAAATCAAAGAATTAAAAATGAAAGGATAAATTTATTATAAAAAAAATAATAATGACAAAATGATTTTTGAATCAAATTTTTAATAAAACTTTCTATACAGTGTTTAGAATCCCCAAAACAAAAAAAAACCAAAGAAATTCGAGAAATTTTAAAATTTCTAAAATAAAATAAAAAATAATATTTGAAAGTCCTTTTACTTTTTTGTAAATAGCAATTAATTTTTTAAATATATTGGCACATTTAAATTCACATGTTTTAATGTTTTTGCACAAAATGGGATGTAACGTATAATTGTATACGATAGTCAAACAGGACCTGAAATTCAAAAAAAAAATTATGAAATAAACATTAATAAAACTTTATAATTTATGCAATTATTATTTTAAGAAATAATTTACAAAAAAAGAGCATAGAGAGTATTAGCAATAAATTTTAATAAATTTATAATTTGTGTAATTTTAGAAAACTATAAATATTGAAATTAGAAAAGTTTTTAAAGGGTCCCTTTGTCTTAATTATTGGGTAGTTTGAATCATTAATATTATTGTGATGCTATGAAAATTATCCACTTTAGTTCTTTAGTACATCTATAGTACAGTTTAAGGAAATAAAATCTGTCACATAACGTTGGCGTCACCGTAGTTGCCTGAATATTAGTCATTAATATCCAATTTTTTTCAAGATTTTCGGAACTCCACTTCGGAGGTATTCGACCCTGTGGGTTAATCTTGCTAATTTAAAATACAAATCTGTTCAAAGCATCTGTACCAAATTGCAGGTAACTAGATGGAGGAGAATTACTTCGAATTCAGAAACGAGATGTACAGAACAACATCGGGAGTATCGATGGGCAATCTACTTTCACCATTTATCGCAGAATTATTTATGTCCAAATTGGAAAAAAGAATGGAGGAGGATTCTCTGATGCCTAGAGTATAGATGCGGTATGTTGATGACGTCTTCGCGATAGTGGACAAGGAAGAACTGGAGAATATAAACAGATGCATCAACAAATTACATAGAAACATCGAATTTAATTCGAAATTGAGGAAAATGGAGTGTTACCTTTTTTGGACTTATTGGTGAAAAGAAAATCTAAAAAAATTGGATTCAAGATATTTAGGAAGAAAGCAACAACACAAAGATGCATTCCAACGGACTCGTACCATTCAACGAAACATAAAATGGCGGCGTTCAACTCTATGATCCATAGAATGCTAACCACACCCATGGACAGACACGACTATAGATCAGAAGTAAACTTCATTTTGGACACGGCTGTGAAGAACGGTTATTCTACTGAACGTATTAACAAACTCATTAGGAAGAAAAAACGAAAAATTGAGCAGGAGAATATGAGCACATTGTTTAAACAGAACGGGATATTGGAAGAACAAAGAACAACATGGGCATCTTTAAGTTATGATCATCACTGTACAAACTTGATAAATAAACAACTAAGGAAACACAATATTCGGACATCGGAAACCATTAGTAAATATCAGCTTGGGAGTTTGTTAAATTCGGCTAAGGATAAATTGAAGATACATGAAAGATGCGGTGTGTACAAAATCAATTGTAATAATTGCGATAAATTTTACATAGGACAAACGAAGAGACCCGTTACAACAAGACTTAAGGAACATTTAAGTGAAATAAAACGTGCAAGGAGAGTAGGATTTAACCGGATTTTCGATTCTATGGTTGCCAAACACATTTATGAAACGGATCACACAATCACGGAAGATAACTTAAAGGTATTAAAAGAGGTAAAAAGAAAACACAGGAGAGAAGTTCATGAAAGCATGCAGATATACAAATCAAACAAGGACTGCCTACTAAACACGGACGAAGGTAACGCGGCTACTTGGCTCTTTAAATTAATTATTTGACCAGTTTTAAGGTTTAAAACAGGTATACATTTAGTTTGTAAATAATAATAAAAAAAAAAAAACTATAAATAATCAAATTCTAGATTAAGTCAGGTAGATTATTTTAAGTCAGGTATAATATTCCTAATTTTAATAGATTTCAATTTTTATTGTTTGTTGTCTTAATTAGAAGAAAATCAGCTTTGATAAAGTGCGTATGTAGCGCACGAAATATATTAGCGAAAAATTAAAAATTTTATTCCGAATAAAAGGAAGTTTTCTTTTCACACCAATAACAAAAAAAAAAAAAACTAGATCGAAATTGCAGGTACCGTTCTGAAACAAGCGATTCAGAAAAAGACTGGAAACAAGTAGCCGGAATTGTTTAGATCAATTATTTATAGTTCGATTCTGGGCTAGAATAGTAAACTAATTGTAAATGCATCCGCTTTGGGATCACATACGTTATAATAAATTAAAATCTTTTAAGATATGCCAGATAAGAAAAGATTTAGGTAAAAACGTTAAGTTTCTATTCACCTACTTATAGTAAACAGTTCTTGCATATAGATAACTACCATTTCAAATATCATTTCAAAATACAAAACAGACTTCTTGGATTTAACCATACTTGTATTACACATCTAATATTTAATTGTTGAAATTAGCAGAATTTTTACATTAAAACTTCTAATTTAATACAAATTTAATTAGTCCTTATGCTAAATTCTAAGAATATTAATCAATTTCGATTTGCTTTATCAGAATTCTTTTTTATACACGAGTATAAAATAAAATATGTATAAAAATGACCATCACGTGTACAGCAATGCGAACATTATATAATCCTGTTAAAGTATAAAAACTGTTAAACTATAATTCCATTTAATCTTATTTAATATTTCTTTTGTATTTTGTTTTTTGTTTTTAAATAATAATTGTTTTTATCATTGGATATCAAATGATGTAAAACTGTCAGCATCACATAAAAGGATAACAAAGGCAAAATACAAAATAGTTCCATTTTTTTACATAACTCTCGCTTCTTACAATTCTTTGTTACTAAAAGAAATATAACGTTTTGTTATGGTGTTGGCTAAATATTAATGATATTTTATACAGGATGGTAGCATAAAGTATAAAAAAGAACGTTCGTCGATGTTACTTTCAATACACTGGGAGTTTTTTTAAGTTCGTGCGCAGTGACTTCACGAGCATTTGCTAATTAAACGAAATTAAGCACATGTCAAGAACAAAAAGCAGATTTCTAGCTCTAAAATGTGTTAGGTTAACATAACTTAACCCTTTGATTTGAAAGAAAGATAATTTTTTTTTTGTTCTAATGCAAGTAGAACTCCCAATTGATTCTGCAAATAATTTCATGTTTACGAAAATATTTTCTTGATCATTTCTTATAAAGGCTTCATCCGTTCAAAAGGATTTTCCGTTATTTCCTTTATGTAAACAACTTCCTTGTTGAAAGTATTAACTATCATTTATATTTATTTTATTACGAAGTAAAAAGTATAAATGTATGAGCGAAATAATTGACCTTGTGGCTTAGAACGAAGTGTAAATTCAACTGAAAGCGATTGCTTACTGTAGTTAATTGAAACCAGTAATTTTCTATGTCATATTTAATCAAATGTCACATTTCGTTATTATTCGTTTGTTCTCGGTAAAATCATGTCGACACAATTTTTCTCTAAAATTTTCAAATACGAATGAAAATTATTAATTTTTAATAGCTTTCATTCAACATGATATGCGTTTCCCTAATATTTCAGTCATTCTATTGATATATACAATATCCTCAAAATTCCGTTATACAGCAAATTATTCTAATAATAAACCATATTTAATCAATTTTATTGCTTATCATAAGTGGCAAAAACTTAAATTAAATCTATATACATATATATACTTATATATATACAAATAGAATATGTGTAGCCGTATAGCTATGATTGTAGAGAACTATAAATAACCACCACAAAACCAAATAATTTGAAAATTCTGTCACTGTAGATGACACAATTCGGTATTTATTATGAAATGAATCCGGGAATTTTCAATACAATTAAAAAAAAATATTACAAAGGATATTATGTGTTTAGTGTTTAAATTTACTCACATTTTTTTTGTGTTATTAATAAACAGTTGGATGAGGGTTGGACGGGGTGGAAGTAGGAGATTGGAATACCAGTACATTACCACAAAAATGAAAATATTGAATTTTAAGTGAATTAAAATCGATTGAACTGCGCGAAAAAAAGAATATTTTTTATTTTTTTTCATTTATTTGCATTTATAATGAATTTTCGGAATTTTTATTACTTATTAATAGTTGGTTTTATTTTTATGTTGCATTGTCCAACTCATTTTTGATGGTGCGGTGCACTGTTATTTTTTATTTTGCTGTTTATCAATTGTATTAAATTAAACATAAAATATAATGAAAACAAATAAAATAAAATGGAAAAAAAAGTGCAATTGAATTAAAGGTTTTTTTTTGTTTTAAACTGTTTGGTTGCTTGTGATCGATGTACGTGCTGTCAAAAAAGATACGGGGTTAATAGGGATTTGTGGAAATGGGGATAAACATAAAATTGGATTTTTATTTTCCTTTTTCTGCTTTTTCATTTAAAGAATTGTACCAAGGATATAATTGTACAAATTACCGCAGAAGCGCATTGTATGTAAAAAGATAATCGTCATTTTGTAAAAATGACATGAGTTTCGAGTTGGTTTATGGTATATATTTCCTACGTTTGTTGCACATGAGAAACACATCATGATAAATTCATAAAACATAATAAAATAAAATGTATAACAGTTATAACATATATTATATTATATATATATATATATATATGTACTTTTTTTAAATGCAAGGCAACGGTATTAAAGAGCTTAAAGCCGGAAACCGATTTTTATTTAGTTTTAATTCCGTTTTATTTTATTTTTCAATTTGATTTTTTTTAATATTAAAATTTTTACTTGTATGCGGTTTGTTTTTTTTTCAGATAAAGGAATGAAGTTTTGTGGGGGAAAAGCGCATAAAGGATAATACAATCAGACGATAATAATTATAAAAAAAAATATTAAGTACATACACACATACATATTAAAAATGTAAAATTGAATACAATATTTAATATTAAAGAAATATGTTTACTGGAATTTACTTCGGTTTAATTATTTTTGAGGCTTTTCTGGTTGTTAAAGAAGAAAAATTGAAAAAAAAAAATTTATGAAATTTAATGAAGAAAAAAAAATATTTATTTTACAAAGTTGTGGTCTGCACTTTTCTTTTTTTTCAGTTGATAATAAAAAACAGATTATTAAAAAAATATTGCAATGAAATTGCTGTATTCCAAACAACTTTAGGATTATGTATTTACAATACAAAAAAAAAATTCCATTTTTTAATTTTTTAATTTA